AAAAAAAATTAAGTACTATTTATATTAAATATTTTTCAGTAGCAAGTATTTCATACATACATACAAAGTAGTTTGTGTATAAAATTTTTCCCTTCAACTTTATTCTTTTTTTCTTTTCTTAGACTTACTTATGTAGAAAATTTAGCAAATGGCTGTTTTGCTAAATTTTCCCTGCCGACAATTTTGCCACCCACACCATACGCTTAGAAAATATTTGGTAATTATGATAACAACAAATTGCGTCACACTTAATTTCATTTTAGTTACAGATTTTTCTTTGTGGTACTTAGCATATTTATAGCACATATTTGATTACTGCACTTATGTAGCTAAACCAACCATTCGCTGGCAAATGAAAATTTAAGCGGCTTACAACTGCTGAGTATCATTGCATAGTTATTGTCCTCAGCAATTTCGTGAGTTGTATATAATTTACAAATGTTTTTCGTATTTTGCATACTACTAACATTATTACAATTAACATTAGTATTAACATTAACATTAGCACTACAAGTAACATTGCTGCTATTATTACTATCTTTACTAACAGTGGCCTTGCAACTGTCATTGCAATTAACAGCTGTGCTTGCCACTGTACGATTGTTTGCATATTTATAACTTAAACTATTAATATCAGTATCTTGGCTTGGGTTGTTGTGTACAGTATCTGTCGCATAGAGATCTGCTATATTTACTTCCTCATAAATGCCGCTATTTCGTTCCTCAATAGTTTCCTGTCTATTTGGACGAAAAGTCCACTCCAAATGTGGTACACTACGCTGTATGCTTTCCGTTTCCGCGCTATGCGTACCTGCCTCAACGGTRCTTTTTGGCGAAATTTCGCATATATAACCGTAATTCATATTATTTGTGTAATATGCATAATAACTATTTAAATCAATTATATTATTTGTTGTTTGATAAGTTGTATTTGTTGTTGTTGTTGGTGAATAACTCTCTCCCGCACCAGCTAAACGTTCGAAGCTACACATATTGGTTTTAATAGTTTCTATAAAAGTTTTATTTACTTCACTCTCCTCGGCAGCAGTCGTTTGCACATTCAACTGTCTCGTCCAAGTGCCATCAAGTACCAGTTTGTTTGATGGCAGCATTGATTTTTCTGAATCATGTCACACTGTGGTGCCTTGTTGGCCCGGCAATACTGAGCCACAATGCGGTGGCACTTTGAAGGCGTCTCGATAGCGCTCGCGACAATCACCTTTGGACGCAAATACGAACTTGTAAATGATGTACATCGGTATGCAGAGTACCGAAGAGCAGGTGACAGCCCAACCGACTTTAATGCTCCATTCGGGGTACTGGTATTCCTCGCCCAACATTTCCTCATAGCCGAGTATGGAGAATATAAAAATGGCCTGCAAGTAAGCATTTGCAACTTAACTCGTTTATAATTTGTGTAATATATAATAAATGTTTACTAACCAGTAAAAATACTGGACTTATATAAGTCCAACAGATGCGCCAGAAAATTCCCGGTTTAATGCCTAACATCTGTTCCACATCTTCGGAGAAACGATCGACGCCGTAAAACCAAAAAACGCCAGCCGCTTCCACGAATACCACAAATAATATAGCCAGACCGGGTCCGTAAACGTTCAAGAAGTTAACCAAAAACACGCCGCCCTGAAATTTGATTAAAAAATATACAATAAAATGTATTGTTTATAAAAATATGATTTATAGTATTTCTAATATAGGAAATTTTTCTAAAAGGTTCTTTCAAATAGTGCTCTTCGCACTTCACCGCTGACTGGACTGGACTAAGTTAGTAAAAGCAGTTTTAGTTTTTACAATAGATCCTTTTTAGAAAGCATCGAGAGGGGTAATGTTTGCCGGTCGAGGTATTCAAATGTGGTGGCGAAGAACTGATAAGGAGCATGAAACAGTTCTTTGTAGATTATGGTCTGACGAAAGCATGTCCGACGATGGGAATTTAAGTGTGCTTAGCCTATTCCACAGAAAGGGAGACCTTAGAATTCTGCAAATCYTGCTATATATAGCGCAGAGGCATAGACTATGACAACATCTGATGAGTCGGCGTTACGAATTTTTGAGAGAAAGTGTYTGCGGAGGACTTGTGGTCGCTTTGCGCAACTGCAACGGCGAATACCGCAGTCGATGTAACTATGAGCTGTACGAGATATACGACGCAATCGAAATAGTAGAGTAAATTAAGAAACAGCGGATACTCAGACTTGGTCATACCGTCCGAATCGAAGAAAAGACTCCAACTATGAGAATATTCTACGTAGTAGCTGCCGGCGGAAGCTGAGGAAGAGAAAGACTTTCACTCCGTTGTAAAGACCAGGTGGACCAGGCTACACTTGGAATCTCCAATTGGTGGCAAACAGCTAAGAGGAAGAACGACGCGCTATTGTAAACTCGACTATAAYTGCATAAGCGGTGTTTAAGCCAATTGAGAATATTAAGTCAAGGGCTGTATTAGTCAAACCACTACCATGTATTAAAATGACAATTTTTGAACTCAAATACGTAATCAGGACATCTAAAATACTCCAAAGATCTCTTAACAGTCGCAATTCTTTCCTTCAGTCTCGTTGAGTAACCTTCTGCTTTTAATTAATAATATTCCTATAAACCCTAAACATACTTCAGTATCTCGATTGAAAAAAAATGCCACTCTCAAGACACATTTCAATTAATTTGAAACTCTTTTCAAAGATTTATCACTTTTATCACTATCTAGACATCTCGATTATTTTCATTTGTTGCATATTTCGTTCCCCCAACATATAGTACATACATAAAAGCYTAAGTAGGCATACAGCCGGCCTGGCGGTGCCAAAGGCTATCAACACTGATTATGCGCACATCAATTGAAGCACGACTAAATGCGCGAAATTATAATTTCTAATGCAATCAAAGAGAGTGATAATATCCATTATCCCTTCTTTGCCATACTACAGCTTAAAGCCGTTAAGCGGTGCGCTGGTGGTTGCTCGTGGAGACAAGTGGGTGGCCAATATAAAAGCTACAATAAATAAAATCAACAATCACTGATGTTTACCAACGCTGACAGGTGTTAAAAATGGCGCCAAAGCTTGAGACGYTGGAAGCAAGTGTGGCAAGAAAGGAAGTAAACAAAAAACGTTAGCTGACAGGCAGACATGTRCACACAAACATACACACTCACAAACGGAGGCATCACACAATTGACTTTACAATGGAAGCCACTTAAGTTGACCACCTGGCTGTGTTGGTGTTGAGATGTAAGCCGAGCCATAGCGCTGATGAACCGCAAGGCCGAAGGACTTATCGGTTGCTTGAGGAAAAAAGCTGGAAAGGTARGGCACAAACACTTAGACAAATGTTGAAGGCGAGTGTGAAATTTATTTATGCAGGTCAAGATAAAGTTAATGCACTGCGAATAAGCATAAAGCAATAACTTATGGGTCGGAAAAGGGGAAAAAATAAACGAAACAAAACCATTTATTAGATAAATACGAGTACTAGAAAGCACTCGTCGTGTGGCGCGTTTAGTGGTCGAKTGACTAGCAAGATAAATGAATAAATGTATTTGCTAAATAGTTTCAGGATTGAGCGGTGCCTTATAAAATTAAGCCAAATTAATTAATGCAATTCTGTGGTGCAGAATATTAGTTCTTTCTATGTRTGTATATTAGGGTGTCCGTTGTTTCCCAAGTTCCACTAAACATATACATATACACATATTACTCACATAAGTCATAGTCGGCAGTGCGCACAGGTAGATGCAAGCCAAAAGTAGCAGCACAAAGATTTCGCGGCGTCGCCCAATGGCGCGTGGATATTCATCACAGAGCGCGGTTATCATAGCCTCCAAACCGCCGAATGTGCTATCCAAACCCAATGTGATGAGCATAAGAAAGAATATAATGGACCAGAAAACTGAGCCGCTCATTGTGGCTATGGCCTCCGGATAGACAATGAACACAAGACCAGGACCTTCTAGGCCCACCTTATCGATTGAGGTCTTCTGCACATGTGCCATGTAGCTGTTGGTGAAAAAAAGTAAAAATAAATATATAAATATTTATGATTATTGAAGTAATAGAAACGGTTTTTGGAATAAATTTACAAAATTTATATACATATATGTTTTTTTACGCACCCTAATACAGAAAATATCACGAAACCCGCCAGAAAGCTTGTCAAACAGTTAACACTACTCGTTATCAACGCGTCTCGATAACAATTGTTATTGAATTTATTGTAACTAGATAAAGCGAGCAATGTGCCGAAACCGGGACCAAGCGAAAAGAATATCTGCGAGGCGGCATCGATCCAAACCTGTTGTAGCAAGCAAAGCACATTTTAAGCATTAAAAAAAAAAAAGAATACATAATAAAATTTATGCTGAAGCATTACCTTAGAGTTCTGTAATTTGTGCCACTCCGGCGTCAGATAATACCGTATGCCCTCCATTGCGCCTGGCAGCGACACGCCGCGCACCAATAATATGAAAAGCACCACATATGGCGCCAATGCTGTGACCCACACAACCTTGCCAGCGCTGCGTACACCTTTCCACAGCGAAAAGTACACCAAAATAAATACGCCGAATACACATAAAGCCAATGTGGGCTTAATGGGACCCATATAGTCCAGGCCATCCGATTTGTACTGCTCGAGKACCATGCGTCTGCGATTAGTTGGATATGGAAATGAATACTAGATTTACAATTTTTTTGAAGTTGTCGCTTGAAAATTACTCACTCGAAGAACTCCTTGGCTGGTGTGGTCGCCTTCTCCGTGAAATTCTCGTTCGTCACTGGCATGCAACTATTGGTGTTCCACGAATTGCCACAAGACGTCCACGGTAGCGTTGATGTGAACGATGCAAATAGATAGTAAACCGCCCAACCGATTATCGTGTTGTAGTACATGCCCATATAAACATCAATTAGGCAAATGGCGTAACCGACACCTGTTTGTATGAGAAGGTACGTAGACAGGATGTTGAACGCTTGGAATGCTTAGTAGTTACATAAATGATTATAAGTAAAAGCTGAATTTAGATTAAATTTGGTAAAAGAGGAGATGCTTTCTTTTTTCATCCTTTACTAGGGGGTGGTTCTTTTACGTGGCGGGTCCCAAACCCATCTCATAACCCTGGGGAGGAATATTTCTTCTCATTTTAGCTCACCTTCAAACGGATGTTTTTTTGGCTACCCAGAGCATCTTGGGTCTAAGACCTGTAGTCGTGAGCTGCTTGAGCTATAAGTAAAAAAATCGTTTCTGGTCATTGCCAAGTAAATGAAAGAGGAAGACCTCCACTTCGTTGGAAAGTTTAAAAGAAAAAGTGGGAAAGAATCTGACTACACTTTGAAACTCCTGGCGCCAAACAGCGAAAAACAAGGACGACTGGGGCGCGTAAGCTCGGCAATAAAGAAGAAGAAAAGAGGAGATGGATAGCCATTACTTCCAGAAAATTTAGTTTTTTTTTCGAAAAAACTACGTCTAGCAGCTGTGCAGAAAATATAGCACTTGTAACTGAGTAGCAGTTCAAGAGCTGCCATTAYATTCARAAAAACAACAGTTGKGTGTGGATTGTGGGTCGGTGGAATTATCGGTCCATATTTCATCAAAAATTTGATTGATTGGCCACCAAGAACGTGTGATATCAAACCGTTAGACTCTTTTCTGTGGGGATATGTAAAGTCTAAAGTCTATGCGGAAATCCCGCTTCGATTCAGGCTTTGGAGCAAAACATCACGCGTGTCGTTCGCCAGTCACTAGTCGAAATGCTGTGKGTTAGTTTCGGTGCAGTCGAAGTAAAGGTTTTTTCCTGTTTGTAATTCATTCGTTTTAATTTTTTTTTTAAATAATTTTAGGTGTGAGTGAAAAGTTTGGGAATTCCTGCAATATAATAAATATTATGGTTTCATCGTCCCTGTTAAAAAAGTTCGATCTTTGTAATATATAAAACTCAAGTATCTTCTTATTCTTCCTCGCTTTTAGGCAATTAAACTATTTTTAACACCATCTTCATTCTATTGTCCATTTACAGACATTGCGTAAACATTTTGAAAAAGGTTCAAATATCACTTGAAATGAGGACATATTTATTCTTCACCTACTAACATTATTAACGCCATGACATAACGTTAAAATATATAGTATATATATCTGGTTGTAGGTAATCAGTCATACCCCCTTTTACCTATGCGCGCTTACGGTAATGGTTTCCTTTGTACTTTCTTTGCCGTTCGTTCGTTTCCTTTCAATCACTTTCTACTAGCACTTTGACTATAGTAGTTGATTTAATAAAAGTTGACTAAGCAAACACTTGTTGAGCAAATACCACAAAGCAGTGTCAACGGGGATTTCATCGCAAGTCACTTAAAACTATGTGACTGTGTGTGTTTGTACGCATGAATAAAAAGTAGTGGAACCTTAAGTGATAAGGCATTTGTCTGAAGAGCGTTTTCTTCATTGATGTGCTTCAAGCAAGCCGATTGAACTGTTGGCCATTTTTTTTTTTAGTGAAGGTTAACGTTTCAAACACATTGAAGGGTCTCATATAGTTGGAGTTGTGGCATTATTATACGTTAATTGAAGGTAGAGTTTTGATGGTTATACCGGAATCTAGAAAAGGGGCACAATTTTTACAATGAAAACCAAGTTGACAGCCAAGTTAAATAAACAGCCTTTAACTATCAATRTCTTACGGTTTTGGTAATATCGCTTTATATCATAGACTACCTTATTAAGTTTATATAGTAGATTGATTTTCAKGAATCGTGTTAGATGAAAATCAGCCGATTTAGTCGAACAGTGAAAGTGAATGCCTTGCCAAACAAATGTGTTTATAGAAAAGAATTGTAGTAGTAAATCGAATATATGCAGTGAATGAAAGCGTAATGATGAATGAACAAAGTAATAAAATTAAAACTATATACATAYATACATACAGACAGACACATGTTAACAGCGTCGAGCACTCAACTTCGCACATTTAAAYGTTTCTATCAGCGACTTCAATTCAAATTTAATGCATATGTACTTGTATATACAAGCTWCGTACATACATATGTATGTTTGTACATGTGTGCTGTTTATCACAGCGTAAGAAAGTTTCATCTACACCATGGATTGGCAGCTAATTGTGCGCTAAAGATGACTTGGAAGATATGGGTACAATCGCCCTCGTAAATATACAAGCGCAACGAGTCAACAAGGCGTGAAAATACACAGATATACATGTATATTCAAATATGTACTATACATACGTATATCATATTATATACATATATATTTATATATAAAAAATTCATTTGCCTGTTTGAGTTTTCAAAATACATGCCAGTTGCAAGTTGAACTGGCAAAAAAATAGACGAGGGAGGACATGAACGAAAACAATAGCGCATTGAAAATGAAGATTAAATCGAATTAAAAATTTGTTATCACAAAAGTTTGTTAACTTCTGGACCTGCTAAGACTTGCGGTATTAAGAAGACATGACTGTGTGATGTGGAAGAGTGATATATGTTCCTGGTTGCAATTGAAACGGGTGATCGAAGTAGAGTTACTTTTTCAATAGCATTTCTTGCACAGATCATGCGTGAATCGAGTAAAGGTGTGATGTTACACTTGATCAGTATTGTTTCGTTTTCAACGGAATCCGACGTTTTCGACCAGCGTTCAGCGAAGTGGTGAGATTCATGAGCTGCCATTTTATCCAGAAAAAACCAACGGCTTAGAGTGGTTTGTGAGCATGTGAAACAGCAGTCCATATTTCTTCAAAATTTATGCCGATGAGAGCGTAACCGTCGTTATCGCACCGAATAATTGCTGGCGCTGCTTCCCACACATCGCATCAATCAATGGATGGACCAACTGAGACGCAGCCGCGACCAACAACAATAAGATACATAAATGYATAAATACATAAATGCCAAAGAAGTTTCTGTGCTTTTTGTTTAAAAAGTAGAGAACCTTGAAATGTATTACCTTTTATGTATATATAGAGCTATGTGGGAATAAACATATATACATATGTACATATGAACAGCTAAATGCAGTGTTCATTTGTTTTTGTAAGATATTCTTACTAACAATAAGAAACTTAAGCATAAAAGGGTTTAGAAAGATTTTTAACTTCAGCAAAAAATAAAACTTTTCAAATTATACAGTCACAAAAATATGAATTCATTGAAACGGTTCAGGGCACAAACATTTTGGTAGCACTATACACGTATAACAGTATGGATGAACCAGCAATTTAGTACTGCATTAGGTTTTGTAAGCAAATATTCTAATTATTTCATTGAATTTAGTAAATACAAGTAAGAAGCTTAAGTGGTTTTGGAGATATGGAGATTAAGCTTATAAGGAGGCAGAGCCCTCCAAATTTTAAATATTTTCAAACCACAGATGCTCTTCACTACTGCAATCCATATTATAGATTTAGAATTAGAGATTGCGTCTCAATTTGGAGTTTAGTTGTAGCACTTTATATATACGTTTTGCTTATTGTGGTCCAGTTCCGCCTATCTGCAATACCAACCATTCTTGGATGCCCAAGCAACATATACTTGCATGTATGTATGCCAACCATCAATAAGATATATAAAATTTTCCTTATTGTGTCTACGAACGGACGGACAGGCAGTCGACCGGATTTCCACTCGTCTAGCCTTCAAAATTATTTTTATATACATAACTCTTTAACAATCTCGATTAGACGATATAAATCGATCGATTAGTGATATAAACAACCGTTAAGTGAAAAAAAATATTATGATCTGTAGCAACATGTTGCGATTGTATAAAAATACCCAACAATAGAAGCTTTCCATAAAAGCTTTAAAGCAGTTCTCTATTAAAGCTTATGAAAGCACAGCCAAGTGAAACACATAGCTGCGTGCGTCGCCTTATGATTTCTTACCGAAAAACCWTTGCAGCTTGCCTTGACGAATCACAACCACCACTTACTATATTCATTTTTATTGCAAAAATTAAAAAAAAAACGTCTGATATATTTATTTCAATTATTTACAGGTTAGCGCACTTTCAACTTAATTTTTTTTTATGGCACAACACATTATTTCTATAAATATACGATTCATACAATTATCCTTGAATTTGTTCACACACCGTGCAGAGACTTAGATATTGGGAACTAGAGCCGGAACTTTGACAGCACAGAGGTGTATTTTCAAACAATTAGTAGTAATTGTGGTATTCACTGTACGGTAATGTTGTATTTGTATAATAAATTACTACAATTAGAAATTATGTATTCTAAAATTTTGGTAGAGTTACCATATGAAAATAATTAAGATAAATGTTATTGTTATAGTTAAAATTTAGTTTAAATTAAAATTTACAAAATTATTTTTGATAAAATTGTATACATATGTATATGTATATGTAATTATTTTGGGAAATTTTTTGTGGTTTGGATTTGGCTGTGTATATACAGGAGTGACGTGATAAGTACATTACTCTTCAAAAGTTAGCAAATTTTTGAATAATTTCGACTTATTGCACGACATATTCTCTTTTAACCGATACATTTGACTTAGTGACGCCCCAAACCCTCTAAAAGCGTCAAGAAAATATATTTTCTGACGGCCTGGCATCATTCGATCTAAATATATATTCTTATATTAATGTATTTTTTATGCGAAATCGCCATACTGTTAAACAATTTTTTTTATATTTAATTACTTTTTAGATACAAAATGTTATATTTTTAATGATCCTAATAAATAACCATATTTTTTAATTACATTTTGTTTGCATTTTACTAAAATCATCATTTCAGAAAATTACATAAATATGTTTTATTTAGCAAAATAATTACTTTGCCACCTGAACGTGAATACCACACCTGAAGCTTTTCGGTAAAAAATGYAACCCTGCGTTTGATAAAAGTTCCGGCGCCATTATGCTTGTAGCGTCAGTTCCGAATTACTTTCA